AGAGAGAGAGAGAGACAGAGAGAGAGGATACCCCGAGAGTGGAGCAGAAGCCACGTGGGAAAGGAGAAACGTGTCCCTGGGGATGGAGCGATACCTTAGATGAAGAAAGATGGGAAATGTTAGAAAGCCAAGTATTAGAAAATAATCTTCCCATGTGAATGGAGGAACATTAATAACGGGACTTGCAATCGGGAAAGGAATGAGTTTGTACAGGGATTAGGAAGACATAGGATTTAGCAAGATTAGGCTTCTATTGAAGCAAAGAAATGGTAAACAGGACCAGAAAGCTTTGCTCGAGATGCCTTCTCTACTACAAGCTTTATTCAGTGGAAATTAGGGAGCCACAGAAGAGATTTCGAGCCCATGGGGAGAATTCTCATTGGCTGTCCAATGCTGGTTTATTTCACCTACGTGATTCTTCGACTACAGAAGTATAACTGTGCAGACTTTACCTTCTATTTCTACTCCTAGCCTCAGCATGTTAGAATAATATTTGCAGAATTATGCCATAGGTGGCTTAACCAGGGAATTTCTGGTCAGCTGGTTCCAGATAATCATGTGCATAGGTAATTTAAATGTATTCTCTTAGGCAGGCATAGTGCTAAGGCAGGCTATAGTCAGGTGGACACTGAAGAGATAGTTCCATAAATAGGGGTGGGGCTGGGGGGAAAATAGAGAAAGAAAACGCCTCCCCTCTCAGTGTGAGATCCCTGAGGTTTAGTTTGTTCAGTTCAGTTCATCAAATAAAAAATATACACTGAAAAAATACAAGAAGCATTATATTGGCAACTAAGACATCCTGTCTGACCATGGCTCTGCCACCCATTCTGGCCACGTGACTTGGGTAATTCACTTTGATTTGGTTTCTGCACGAGTAAAGTTGAGGGTGTCTGACTAGAGTGTCCCCCCTGTGTCACACCCTCCCTCCCTCCCAGTCTGCCTTCAGCTCCTCCTCGACACATCCCTGGAGGCAGCTACCACTTCAATTGAGAAATGAAATGCATCCACCATACTTGGACTAAATAAATGATCTAAAGTACTGAATCTTAAGTCCATTATTTGGGTAATTTATTTATTTTTTATTTCAGAATATTACAGGGGTACAAACTCTTTGGTTCCATATATTGCCTTTGCACCGCCCGAGTCACATATGGAAGTAACATTCATCAGGTGTCAGGCAGGTGGGAGGGGAGAGGAGAGGATGGGGAAATTCACACCTAATGGGTGCAGTATTTGGGTTAGTTAGAGCCCTATATTTCTGCTGATAATAGCCCCATTTAGGAATTTAATGTAGAAATTATCAGGAAACAGACCAAGCACAACTACTCTGATTGGCGACCATCACTTGTGCTGAAGGAACAATCCTGCCCTTTCCTGTCTATTTTTAGAGAGTTTGGCCATTCTGAATTCACCAGCCAGGTAACATTATCTTGCAGATGTATCTTGGAAATGTAGCAGTCCTGCCACCTAATGGACATCTCAGAGGTCTGAGGATCAGACAGACTTGAATTCAAATCCCACACCCAACACTCTCTAGTCGTACAACCTTGGGCAATTCGTCTGAGCATCAATTTCCTCATCTGCAAAATGGGGCTATGATTTGCTACTGTGAGAATTGATGGGAGGCTACAGAGACAGCCTGGAGATTCGCTTACAGCAGGAGCTCCATCGATGGAAGCCAACAGCACCTTTGCAAGTTACCGTCCAACTTACGTTTCACGTACAGGCGGCCTATCACCTTAGCAGTTCCGTATCTGTTGGACACTTCACACACATAGCTGCCTGAGTCCGAGGGGCGAGCGTTCTCAATGAGCAGCCCCGTCACGGTCTTCTGGAACCTCCCCGAAAGTTCCAGGGGCATGTTGTCCTTTAGCCAGCGGTAATCTGGCTCAGGGTGCCCAAGCGCTTTGCAAGGCAGCTCCACACGCTGCCCTGCCATGGCTTTGCGATGATCAAACCCATCCAGGATGGACGGGGCTGAGTTCGCTGGGTCTGCAGAAGAAAGAAAAACTCTTAGAGGCAGTGAAGGAGAAATCGAAGTGGGCATATAGAATTGCACGGCTTCCCGTATAATTTAAATCCTATACTTCGGACCAACTACTGATACAGGTCCTTAAGGTTTTACAGGTGAACAAAAAAAGTGGCCCATTCTCACAAATTCTTTTTGCTCAGAATTTGTAAAAGGGTCAATGAACACTGGTCAGAGCTTCTGCTTGTCCTTCCCTACCAGTAACTGAAAGATTCAGAGTC